ATGTTTTTGTGGCATGTAAGTACTGCTTTCCTTGGGAAAAGTCGCTTGGGCTGTTGTAAAACTATACAGGGCATGGAGAGACTGGTGAAGTCTCATCCTTGCAGCCTGTAGTGTGGTCGCTGAATGGTATGTTATTCTGGAACAGCATTCATTTTTATCTCAAAGGGAACTCTGAAATGAAAAAGACTGAGAATGAACTGTCACACATGGAGTGGGGATGATGGAGGGCTGGATTCTAGGAGCCAAGTTATTTGCTAGTGCAGATGTACCAAACAGTATTTTACAGATGACATTTCACCAATACTGAATCAAGTGGAATCATTACCCTCAGCATCTTACATATAACATTACTATTAGCATGTCAGGATGTGAATTGCTTTGACTTTCATTGTTGACTTTCATTTAATTTCTTTTCCACTCTAACTCCTGGACCTTTTCCCTTGCATTTACATTTACTCAGCTATTCACAATCTGGTACTGGTGAACGTGGTCTCCCTCTCCAAAGTGCAGCACTTGACACACATCTTACTGAATTTTATCTTGCTGACTTTAAGATCATATCTCAAGATTATTACAGTAATTTTAAATCTTGATCCTGGTCCCTAAAGCATTTGTATGCCCTGTGCTGTTAATTAGTATCATTCATAGATTTCATACATAATCACAGTTCATTTTGTCATCTAAATCACTAATGAAAATATTTTTAAAATCTTAGATGTAGACTATAATTCTGTAGCTAATTCATGTGCTTATATTTGTCCTATTTCTTCTTTAACCTCTAGTCTGAGAATCCCCAAAAGGTACCTCAGTAGTTGCAAGAATATTTAATACTTGCACTTATATCTAATCTGGTTCACAAAATTATATATAACTTACCAAACTCTGATTGCTTATGTCCCTGAAGAGGGATCAGTCTGTCACTTACTGACTCTGCATTAATGTGAGTTAGCTGTTCTGTCGCTAATTTTGCATTCCAATTTCAAAATAGGTAATCAAAAGTGTGCTAATGATGTTATATTTTTCTCATGTTTTGTTTACAAGTACCATATATTTAGTCCCCTGTATTTGTAGAAATCCATGGATTTATAGAAAATTGCCTCTGAAAGTTTTATTGTATCAAGTGACCTACTTTTCATCTTAGTCCATTTGAACATAGCAGATATATTTACTACCAGTTACTGAGATAAGAACTGTGGTATTGTTTGTCTAGATCAGCATCCTTTAATGGTCATGCAGTCTATTAAATATCTATTACAGACTCTGTATTTAATAAATGATTTCTAATTGACTAGGTGTCAGTGGCAACATTTGAGAAAACTCAGTTACGTGGGATTTTTCATTGATTTTCCCTATATTAGAAAATGAAGTGTCAGATACCATTAATTGCATTCTAACAATAAGAAGCACACTGCAAAAGTAGCCACTAAGTGAAAGCACTTCTAGCCTAACACTCAATAGAAATATTCTTTTTAAATTAATCCAATATATAAACAATTATTACAGTTATGTGCCTCTGTTGGTCAAATTGATGAGAATGTAATTACAATCTACAATATGAAACCATTTTTCAGGCTTCTAGAAAAATGCATTCAGATATATTCTGCACTTGTTTATCCTTATTCACTACACTATCTGCATCCAGCAACACAGAAGTGTGTTAACCCATGGTTTCTAGGAGTTCTCACCTACAAGGATTGCACCATTCCTGACATCAGCTTGCACTAATGTTGTCCATGGGTCAAAGACGGAACTGCTAACATATATTTTCTTATAAGTATAAACATATCTACCCAGGCTATATGCCATTCGTAACTATAATTCAGAATAAAGTTTATGAGGGTGTGGTACATATATTCATTACCATTGATGGTCCATGGTTCAAAACACATCGGTGCATCTTTCCAGCTTGCTTGTGTCTGCACTGCTATAGTCAGGCACTCATGATCACATATGTTTTCTACAGCTGTAATTCGATAGATTTTCTTTCATGTGATCTCATTTATTATGCCAGAACTGACCATCAGTCTACATAATCCTTGTGAGATTATATTAGGAGTCTGGATGTGAAAATTCATTTGACTATGCACAATTTACTGTAGGGCTAGAAGTTCCTATGCCTTTGTAGGGAAAGAAAAATCATGACCTTTCTAAAATATGCAATGTAGCATTCAATTTCCCTGCATCTGATCGATAAGCAAGCAGGAAATTATATCTTTTGCCATGGTAGACAAGCATAATTAAGCAATAAGGCAATGGAGGTAGTTGTGATTATCTTAGCATGCACCTGGGAGCTGCCTTGTTGCTATTTTAAAACGTCTTTATGTGAAGGGAACTGTATTAATTTCTGCTGAGAAAGATAAAGTTGGCAGTTTGGAATGCTCATGAGCAGCAGTTTCAGTTGTACTTCACAGAGAGTAATGTGGTGTGTTCATCCCAAACAATTCAGCTTCTCCTTCAACAGAAGTAAAGATGGAGAAGGTTGTAAACATTTAATTGACATTTGAGACCCAGGGAAAAAAGTACCCCCCCCAAAAAAACAATTATTGTTTCACTGGCTTCCAGTGAGTGCAAAAGTTACATTTTTACCAGTTTAGAATGAAAATATGTTGCCCTCAACACTCGACTTTCAGGGAAGACATCTCTGCATAATTAATACTGTTGCATCCACATTCTAATTTATGCATTTTAATTTTATCAAAGGCCTGGTGAATAATTAATGCTAGCAAAACAATGGGTCTGAAGCATAAGCTGAAAAGTATCACTTTTTAATAGGCTTTGTAAATTTAAATAACTAATGAAAGCTATTTAACTATTTGATTGCGAGAATATTTCTTTCTGATACAATCAAATATTAACTACAATAATTGAGCAGCCTCTCAAGAGGAGAAATGTTAGCTCAAGCTTATAGTTTTCACAACTGACCAACCTGAGTATACCACACTACACTACCCCACCTGAGCCATATGCTTCTAGAAAAGAGATTTATTTGGGTGTTTGTCCTGTGGGAGGGACTGGCATGTCATTGGCATCACTTATAAAATCAAAATTCCAGGCACAATGTTCCTTTTTGACCTCTTGTCTTCAAGTAGGTCAGTTCATGCAAGTTTCATGGGGAGATTTAGAACTGAATATAAAGAAATACAATATAGAATTTATTATCTCTGAGTTCAGCAATCTGAGAATTAAGGATGTAGGCCAGGTTAGTAATTCAGAGCCTTGCAGTGTTCAAGGGAGACAGATAGAACCTCTGGAGAATTTCATCTCATCCTAAAATGGGTTTTTGAAATAGATGGGATTAATAACCCTTTGACAATGTATAGCGTTTTTCTGTTTCTTACAGAGGAAGCTTAGGATACTGCCTTATACCATACACCTAGCTTCTAGACAGCCTAGTTTAGATGAAGTTAATCTCACTAGCAACGGCAGCCTCTAAAACTATGGTGTAAAGAAGATCTACTTATACTAATCTGAGGGTGTAAAGACCAGGGCAGAGCAGAAGGACTCACAGTACAGGGCTGTGAAATGTTCAGTGTGTCATATTGACAACCAGCATCCCAACTGCTTGGCCAAGTCTCAGACTTGAAACACGTGCCACTCATTAAGAAAATCCTTCCCCTCTGAAAGGCCCAAAATGTACATTTGTGTTGATCTGCCATGTCCAAATAGTTGCCTACACCTTGCTGTGTACCCTGGGGCAATGTTGGGCAGTGTGATGTGCTAAGAGCAGGCTGTCCCAGATGTGCAGTATGTCCTGGGTTTGGTGTGCTCTGAGTTTGTCATGCAAAGGGTGGTGAAAGCAGGTAGAGAGCAGGCAACACTGATTGTGGAAAGTCTGGTAGCAGAAAGTACCAATTTCTTTAGGTGAGTAAAATGATACAGCAAATGATGAATTACTGCAGTCCCTGGCAATATATTACATACACTCAGGTAATATCAACTTGTCAATATGAATATAAAATTAATAGCTTCTGCCAAATTTTTTGTTTTCTATTTCCACGTCAGAAGTTTGCTCTTTAGCTCTAATGAAAAATGTTTAAGTAAGTGTCATAATAGTAACAATATAATGAAGGACTTGTAAAAGAAATAAGGTTGACAAAGGCTGCTGCCAATTTTTCCTATCAGGCCCTTTATTTAATTGCATTAGTTTGAGTTCAATAACTTTTGGTTCCTCTGTTTTAAGTTTTCTCTTTCTGCCTATTATTATGTATTGAAATGAAAGTATTTGACTCTCCAGAAAATTCACTTGAGTCACTGGGGAGATATGGAGGGGTTCTGTGTAGGAACTAATTGTGTTTTCCCTGTTTTCAACTATGTTTGCCTGAGCCTGGACGTGAGCTAGTGCTCTCGTCAGTGGCTGTGGTCTGTGGGACAGGTGCGAGTTACTTTCATTTTGGGTAGGCTGGGTGGTGTGTCCCCTCATGCAGATGTTGGGAAAGAAAAGGAAGGCATCTAAAAGGCTCTTGCAGAGGTGGCTCTGCTCCAGTGAAATCTCAGCCAGCCATAGCAAGCTGCTACCTGGGCTGGCTGAATATTTCATAGAGGGTAGAAAGCAGAACAAAAAAGAAAATCTGCCTTAGTATCAGGTTAAAAGAGTTTATTTTTTCTGAGCAATAGTACCTAAGGAGCACACACATGTTCATGCAATCTGGGACTGATGTGAAGACTAACAGACTATCCTGGTTGTCTAATTGTTCTTGACTGCTCAGCTGTCCTGCCCAGTAGCTAGGCAATATCCTGATGGTATTCCTCTGCTCCCTATTCCTCTCTACTTTTCTTACTGCAGTACTTACAACAAGTAGTAAGAATAATTCCTCAAAAAACACAATTATTTTATTAAATCCAATTTAAGACCAAAACCTCCTGAGCATGTACAGGATGGACCTTGGTGTTCTAGCCATCGTAGTCAGTCTAGTGTTTTTAATGTGGATGATGATAAAAGCTGCTGAAGCATGAGATCACAATCTGTACTGAAAGGTCTCCCTTTGCTTCTGCCTTTGCAGGACTATGCTGAGAGGGAGAAAGCTGCAGCCAAGGCTCTGGAAGATGTGAAGGCTAACTTCTACTGTGAACTATGTGACAAGCAGTACCACAAACACCAGGAATTTGACAACCACATCAATTCTTATGACCATGCTCACAAGCAGGTAAACCTGATAAATGTCTCTGCACATTACAGTGGTCTGTCTTCCTTCTTCATTGATTGTGGGAGGTTTCTAAGTTCACTCAAGTAGGAGACAATTCATCATTTGGTATTTTCAACTTTACTTTCCATTAGAATATTGTTTTAATATTCACCACAATTTCTTTTAAGCCACTCTGACTGAAAGACCTCAATCTACAGTTTTAAATATATACTTAATACTAATATCCACACTTAATTTGATATCTTTAAATATGGAATTACCTATAAACTAGAGAAAAGGGGAAAGACCACTTCCTCAAATAGCCAGGTCCTTCTTGTATGCAGAAAGCATATCATCATGCTGTTTCAAACTGGTCATGCTGTTTCAAGGGCAGAAAAGACGGAGTCAAGGGCAGAAAAGAGGGAGTTTGGGGGAGTTGTTGGTTTGCTTGTTTTTTGTTTTTTGTTTTTTGTTTTTTTAAAGAAAGCTTATATTTCTGAAGTTAAAATCTATGTCTAATAATGTTTTTCAGGGTGAAATACATTTTACCTTGCATACAGAATGTGATATAAAATAATGCCTACTGTTGAACAACATGTTGAATTCATGGGATAAGATAATAGATACTAATTTTTTGTCATTGATTTTGTGTAATTTTATCAGGCCTTTATGTGCTAGGTATATATTATCCATATGTGCTTATTATCCTTCTTTCCTGTATCCTAGTTTTCCCCTATTTTTGGCAAAATCCATATTTCAATTGGTAATATGGAAGGAAAATGCAATTAATTCATATAAGCACTTCAGAACTTGAAGAAAATGGCTTGCAAAGCTCAGGAGTGAACATTTCTGAACCTCTGACATGACAGATCATATCTGCTAACTTAACATGTTAAGAGCATGTAACTGAAGGCCATAGCGTATCTTTCTCTCCTGCATTTCTTCTAGTGCTTGCATTACACAGCTGAAGTGCTCAGGTATTATATGCATTCAAATTAGTGCCTTCTGTCGATCACACTTTTGGTTGCACAGGGGTCAGGAAGTACCTTACAAATATTTGAAGCAGTTAGAAATTGCAGGTGTTTCTGACAGAGGATTAGAAATAATAATGGGGAGTTAAAGAAGCAGTGCTAAAGAAAAACCTCTTCAATCTACCTGCAAGCAATCTTATTGTCTTCTGCAGTACCACAGAGGATGTAAATCACCCTGGAATTTTCCGTGTGCATTTATCACAGCACTTCATTAACAAACTGCTTAATATCTGACCATCCATCCTGCTGAATTTGAGCAGCCCAGAGTCAGCTCCCCATGGGTAATATTGGGAAATTTTTGTTTCATCACTCTCAAACTGGAGTTATGCATTTATGTGTTAAATCAAAACCAATTCCTCACATCACCGTTCCATTAATTAAGTCGTAAAAATGTCTATAATAATACAAAACAAATGCTTTTCCAGATCCTAAACATGTTACTCTAATCTCTATAAATCCTCATTTGCTGCACAAAGGATTTTTTTCACCCTTCAGCTGTTTTTTAAGTCATTAGAAATACATCTGAACTCAAATGGAGCCATTTGTGCCCTCCCCTCTTCACACATTCCCTGTGCAAAGAGCAGTTTATGCTAAATCCAACAGCCTGCTTCATGCACCATCTATGATTGCCTTGTTGGGCAGCGGAGCTTTTGGCAGGTTTCTGTTATAAAGCGGAGTGTTTAAGCAATAAAACTATTCTTAATTTTCAGATAAATTTAGTGCTTTAAAAGCCGCCAGGCATAGCACTGGAAACTAAGAGTCTGCACAGAAATGCACGACACATATAGAATATCAACCGGCAGTGCAGGCTCACCCCATCCTGCCCTTTCAGATGTAGTTCAGAAGCTCAGTTAGTGCAGGATTAGTTAGCTACCCTCCTGATGTGACAGGGTAATTCAGTCTCTTCTCCCCTCTCATTTCTTGACTGCTCATCCAAGTCTGGAAACAGCATTAGTTTGCCTCTAGGAATAGTGTGGGTGCACCCTTTTCTCTGTCTTTTGTAGTCAGTCACAGAATAGCCTTTATTCTTCATACTTTTATCAGAGTAATCTTCAAAGAAAACAATTTAATTTCTGGTTTCCTGTGATTTTCCTTGGTTTCAAAATATTTTGAGATATTTTCTGGGAGGTACAGTAGCCACTAGAAGATCTTCTTTCTCCAAAGGTATGTTTTTTGTTTCCCAGCAGTAATGAGGGTGGCTTTAGTAATCTGCATGCATATGTTCTAAACATCATCCTTCTAATGGAGAGTAAATTAAAATGAGTGACTCTTTACATCTCAGTAACAATACAGTGTAGTCCCCCATGTGATTTCCCATTTAAATACTACGACTTCAAAACAATGTTTTAAGAAGATAGAAAGGCAGAAAAAAAAAGATGTTGCACTGAGTACTTAGTCATAAGTCTTTTCTTTGTCTTCCAGAGAAAAGAGATTTTATTTAAATAATTATGGCTTTAATCTCCAAATATGGTTTTATGAAATTGTTTTTGTGATCCATTTTCTTATCAATCATTTCAACCAGTTGTTACAGCAGGAAGTCCTGAGTTCTGGACCAATCAGTTGGTGTGCAAGCCACTGCCTTCCCTGTCCTCAGAGGCTGCAAAATGTTATGATGACAATATGGCCTTGTTTGCATAACTGGTCTTTCTGTTATTTTTCTGTGTTAGATATTATTCTAAAGCAGTGTACTCAGATTGACTTTCTCTCTGCATGCTACATACCTTCATAGTTATGGTTATAAAAAATACAATGTATGTATGTATGTGTACATATACACATATACATGCATAAAATTTTTGACAGATCATCAAAAGCAATGCCTACATCCCCATTATCTTCTATAACACTGTAATGACCTTGGAACATTCTAATATTATTTATATATTTTTGAGTAACAGTGCCTGAGTATTAAGCAATTCTTATTTCTTTTGGTTATCTGGTCAGCGTTTCTCTTAACATTGCCAACATCTTTCCTGAAGCACTACACTATAAGAGTTTTCACTGATATAACCTGCTATTGGAAATTCATTTCTTTCAGTGTAGGGCTGGATAAAATGAACTCAGAAAATCTCTCTGAATGAAAGGCTGTACTCCCATCCAGCTTTGCCTGAGCTCTCTGTTAAGCCTGATACTTAACAAGGTTGGGCCAGGAGTATGGGTGATTTTCCTGGGAGAAGCTAATCTTTCATCACCCTACCGCCCTGTGCATACACGTCTCATTGGCCCAGCACATACCAACTAACCCACTTGAAATCACAGTTTTTTTCCTCAGTGTTTTTTCCTATGACTTTATAAAGCCCTGTGCAGCAGTCACAGTGAGTAACACTGATAAATCTGCAGTATCCCTCATCAAGCATCCAGGTGAACAATGCTTGCTATCACTTGCTCATCGTATTCCTGCAACAGAAGTTAACTGCATCAGAACTGAGTACCTTGACTCTGTCAAAGCTATCTCAATACTGAAAAGGATGAGGGTCCTGGTGCGAATCATTCAAAAGTGATTAAGATATAGATAACCAAGATAGGCTGCTGCCTGAAAATGTAATATATGTGGAAGTATGCTGCATGCTAAGCTGAAAATAATATGTAAGGATAGTTTGTTTAACAGGGTTTTTAAGTCACCCACATCTTTAAAAGGTAGCCTGGCTTCAGCAGAGGTTTCTATTTGGCTGACATTATTGAATGGAATCTTTCAACAACTGCAGGTCATTCATAACATTCATCCATTCAGTTGACATTAAAGTAGTTGGAGTTTTCAGTTTTTTGTATAAATAATCCTTAGCAATCAGCAAGGCTTTTAGATGTCAGCAAATGAGAAAATCACAAATCTGTTCCATGTGTTGCAATATAATAATGGTAATAATAATAATAATAAAAATAATAGAAATAAGCAGCATAGAAAAACAAGACTGTATTGCCATCTTGGGGTTTCTGAAGACAAAACAAGTCTCAGTTTTGTTGCCAAAATACATCACATTCTCTCATGTGATTAAAAAAAACCTCAAACCAAATAAAACAATAAAAAACCAAAAACACCTCCCCCCAAAAAAATAGCAAAAACCCCAAACAAACAACCAAAAACCGAAACCAAAAAACCAAACCAAAAATACCCCAAAGAACCTCCCCACAACACAAATTTTAGTGTTCTTGATCCAGGCAGCACTGTACAAGTGAGTGAACAGAACTTTCAGCCTACTCTATTTTGCATGCACATACCTGTATTTTAGTATTTATATCCATGCAAACAAGCATTTGGATATATTTCTGGCATGAGAGTCTGATTTAGTGTGTACAGCTGTGGGCACTTACTGTTAAGCCTTTATGGTGCTTGTGGATTTAAACTCTAATTCAGGCAGAGATTTAGCTCCTGTTAAACATCAAAGCTGGCAAATATGCTTGCATTTTAGCTAGCGTTGCTGCTGCCACCCAGAAAATGCACTGGTAAGTTAACACAGAGAAAGCTTCAGGAATGAGTGTAATGCTGAGATCTTGTTTGTTCATCTTGAGGGTGTTTTTTTCCAGCAATTCTATGTTTATTGGAGGGAAATGAAGTCATGCCTTTTGCCTCTAAGGTAAACCTCTATTGTCCAAACGGTTTTCGTTTGGAGGAAAGGAAACTGGTCCAGCAATATCTGAGGGATTTCACCTTAGGATCTGGGAAATTAGGCAAACACATGGAGAAACCTTCTTCTGGATGAAGTAACATACGAGTCAAACAGAAAGTACTATAACCAGCTTGAAGGTTCCTCACTATGTGTGCTTGTGTGATCTCTGCTTTTTTCTGTAGATATTTAAGTGGACACACTGTCCCTCTTGTTCTACCACATGGACAAGGCTGAGGTCCTTCCCTGTAGCCCCTGCTTCTACACTTTTGCACCAAGATACTAGCCTTTAAAAAGGGGCTTTTTTTAAGGCCCAGTTTTGCATATGGGGTCTGTACTCCCTGTGGCCTCCTCAGAAAATAATCTGAATGGCAAAAGACCTCAGAAT